GTCGAATCCCATGTACACCACTCAGGCTGGCCGCCTCATCGTTAGTGTTCTCAGCGCAAACCCGAGCGCGTTTGTTCTCATGGTGGCGCCGACAGTCACGCATATCAAGGATAACTTGCGCCACCGGAAGTCTGTCACTCATAGCCAGGACCTGCTCAAAATTCTCAATGTCATCCTGGAGACAAGGCTTCTCCTGTCACAGACCCAGATGACAGAGGAACAGAAGAGCGATTTCGTCGCTGTTGACGGCGTCTTCAAGAACCTCTACAACGACGTGTATAAAGGCCCCGTCGGACTTGGCAGCAACGCCAATGCCAATGAGGACGACATTAAAATCGCGACCGAGGCCGTCCAGGGTGTTGGTGCGCTGATCTCTCAGAGAACCGTACCTCTTGGACCAGAAAATGATGGTGGCCTACTTCTCCCTGAAGCGACATGCTCCGAAATCTGCCAAGCACTTTTTGCAATCCCGCTCAGCGCTTTCAGCAACCATTCTTCAAACTTGAACCTGGATGATCTTCTGAACGAGACGGCAAAGGCCCTGCACCGGGCCGTCCAAGCCTACGCATCTGGCTTCAGGCCTCTGGTCGATCAGTTCGTATCCGTCGTCCGGGACAGTCGTGACGACCAGAGCGACGAGGCTGCTGACAAGATTCAAAGAATTGGCTCTCTGTTGGCTTATGTCGGATGCTCCGAGTTGCCGAAGTCTCATATCAACGGGAGACATCACTTCTTGGCTCTGATTCATGTCCTAACTGCCGAATTGACAGCGGCAATAGACGCCAAGGCCAGCCCAAAGATTTGGTGCGCTCTGATTGTGGGTATTCAAGCAGCTGCACGCTACTTCAACGATGCTTGCTTGAAGCATACCCCGGAGACAGACCAGGTGTTCGACGGCACCATGTGGCTATATCGGGCCACTTACAAGTATCCGGAGCTGCGGTCCCTCGCCGGGGAGGACGAAGACGGCTCTGCGCCTAGTTACAGCAGCGCGCCGCCGTCAAAGGAAGTGACTGCTACTGAGCTGCGCAACAACTTTTTGCTCATTGGCCTGGTGGCTGTCAGAAGCCTTTACCGCCGCGCAACGGCCGCAATTGGCCCCGTTCCAGGCACTCAGAAGCCTGCGCTCCAGCTTAGCGGCGACTTTGACGGTTCTGATAAGCCCTCAGAGTATCAGTATCTGCATCTGATTTCTGACTTTGCTGGTTTTGTTCTTCGTGAGATGGGTGAAGCCCAGCAGGCTTCGCTGAAGCTCGACCACTACTTTCTAAATCTGTTCCAGGAGGAAATCATCCCAATTCCGGCTTCGACATCGGAGGAAGAAAGAAAAGCAAGGCTCGAAAAGTATACAGACGAGCAAGGCTCATCATGGGGCTGGTTGACGGAAAAGTCTGTCAACATCCTTTCTCTGGGGCTTTTGGAGGCAATGAGGCCTTCTGTTGTTGCCAAACTCGTGAGTTGCTCCCCCTTTTCCTTTCCATCTTCCTTATTTGCAAAGTGCTAACTTGTTGGACAGTTCGACTCTGGTGTAGCGCAGGAACTCTTGGTCAGCGGTACATTGAGTGCTTCTCTCAACCAAAGCTCCCTCACCAGACCCGTCACCCGGTCCATCCTAACCATTCTGGCAAACAAGTATAAGATCGAGAGCATCGGCTACCTGATGTCGCGGCTGGAAGGCCGATTGGACACCGCTCTGCAAAACGCGCAAAACTCTGCCGACAGTGACGATGCCGCCCGGTATCTGGAGCAGGTATCCTCCGTCTACGCAATCGTCAGCGGACTGATACGTCGACCCAGCGGCACGCAAGCCCGAGGCCTCATCCAACGGCTGCGGGAAGCCCCGAGGAACGCGAAAACCGGCCACCTGCTAGCTCG